AAAGAGTGTCTGGTGATGTTTCAGGCTATTTACCCATTGTTAACCTACTGGTCATTGACAGCAATGTCAATAGATTTTTAATCTTCTGCTCCCAGGGTCGTGGTCAGTCCAGCTCCAAGACATGACAGAATAATATGACCGGCTTTTATGGTTTTAAAGAAAAGTGAGGGAAAGATAGAGGGAACAGTGCTCTAAAAACTTATTACCACCTTCAGCTGGGACTTGAGTTTGAGTTTTTCTTCTGGCTATTTCCATAGTTTGACTTACTATGGAGTAAAATAGAATGCTGACTCTGAGTATCATTTCTCATACCCTCACTCATCATCATCTCAGGTTTATCGAGTACTTTATCATGAGGTTGTTCCTCAGAGCTGGGTTCTCTCAACAACCTGTTTCACTTTTTTAGCCGCGTTGCCCTGCATAAGACACATAACACCCTGAGCCTTAGTTTGGTCATCACCGAAATAGGGATAAGATTGGTCCTTGCGCTGCTGGCTCACAGAGTGTTCATGAGACTTAATTGACCAAGGAGATGTAAAGTGCTTTGATGAAAAGCGTGGTCTTATTAAGGGCTCATAAACATAATTTTGGACCACCTAGAGAAGATGGTAATTTAAAGCCTTGTTGGTTTAATACTTTAAACTATTAGAATTAATAGAAGTACTTTTTGGACTGTCCACAGTTTTACACCATGTGTTCTTTCTACCACTGGACCCCACCATTAGCTCCAGCTGAGAATTGATAAAAAGAACTTCTTAATGACAATGATGCCAATAGGGACTTGGCTTTGGAGCAGGGTTTTTTGTTTGTTTGTTTCCGGTATGCCGGCCTTTCACTGTTGTGGCCTTTCCCGTCGCGGAGCACAGGCTCCAGAAGCGCAGGCTCAGCGGCCACGGCTCACGGGCCCAGCCGCTCCGCAGCATGTGGGATCTTCCCGGACCGGGGCACGAACCCGTGCCCTCCGCGTTGGCAGGCGGACTCTCAACCACTGCACCACCAGGGAAGCCCCGGAGCAGGGTTTTATATTATCTTGGAAGCTTGGGATTGATACAATGTCAGTCTCGGATGCAGGAAGCTTTTCCAACTTTAGCCCTTAAATTGGACCAAAGTGGTAGTTTGGACTGTTTGCCATCTGATAGTGAATGGAAACTTTGAGCTCTTTCAAATTGTCTGCCTTATGTACTCTTCCCCATATGTCTCTTCCTCAAATCTCTCCAACTTTAATTATCATGATCATCATGACCATCATCATCTCTAACACACACTTCTGTAGTACTTAAAATGTATCAGGCAACTTTGTGAGTTGGAATTTACATTATGTTGAATTCATTTAATCCTCTCAACAGCCTTCTTCTAAAGAGGCTGTTGGCTCAGGGCAGTCGAAGAATTTGTCCGTGTTTCCGTAGCTAGTAGATTGCAAAGCAGGGGTTTATTTTTAAAATTTTTAATTGAAATATAGTTGGTTTACTGTGTTGTGTTAGTTTCAAGTGTACAGCAAAGTGATTCAGTTATACATATAATTTTTCAGATTCTTTTCCATTATAGGTTATGGGTTATTACAATGGATTATTACAATAAGCTATTGAGTATAGTTCTTTGTGCTATACAGTAGGTTCTTTTTGGTTATCTATATTATACAGAGTAGTGTGTATATTTTAATCCCAAACTCCTAATTTATCCCTCCTGCCCTTTCCCCTTTGGTAACCATAAGTTTGTTTTCTATGTCTGTGAGTCTGCAAAGCAGGAGTTTAAACCAAAGTAGTCTGGACCCAGATCTCATGTCTTAACAATTCTGCTGAACTGCCTATCTGGCATTGCTTCATGTGCCTGGTTCCAGGAATCCCCAGAGAGATTAAAGTTTTCTAAAAACCTACACCTGCTCTCTTGAGGGCTTAAAGGACCGTAAGACTCCATGCAGGGGCATTTTCTCAGTGTTTTAGTCAGTTTGGGTTGCTATAACAAAATACCATAAACTGGGTGGCTTAAATAACAGAAATGTATTTTTCAAAGTTCTGGAGGCTGGAAGTCTGAGATCATGGTGCCAGTATGGTCGGTGTCTGGTGAGGACCCTTTTCTGGCCTGCAGATCACCATCCTCTTGCTGTGTCCTCACATGGCAGAAAGAGAGAGGGTGTCCTTTTCTTATAAAGGCACTCCCATCATGGAGGCTCCACCCTCAGGGCCTAATTACCTCTCAATGCCTGGACCTCTGAATACCATCCTCCTGGGGGTTAGGGTTTCAGCATATGAGTTTGGGCGGGCACTCAGCAGCAATGACTTCTCTTCAGTGACCATCTGTTCTTCTAATTTCCTTCCTCTGGAACAGCCCTCCCTTCCCTAGAGTGCCCAGAAAGACAGAGACTTTGGGAGGAAATGCAGAGCCACCAGAACTGGCCAGTTGGGGACCCGTGGGCCCTCAGGAAGGGGGACCGAAACCCTCTCCCATGAGGAAGGAAGGGCCGGGTCTAGGGACCCTCAGCCACTGCAGTCTCCTCTGCTCCAAGCTGATGGAGTTGTGGAACAGCAGGAACCGAGGGCAGCCTCATAACTTAGAACCAGCGAGGCAGGCCCGTGCCATTTCCAGAGGTCACGCTGTGCCCTCGGGGCTGGCGAGAAAGTACAGGAGACCCAGGCCCTAGCTAGGTGGGACGGGCTGTGTAACTTGCAGACCACACAAACACAGGGCTCAGGCCCACATCCCAGCCCTGGTCTTCTGAGCAGGAAGGGGGGTTAGGTGCCGAACGGAATGGGTAAAACCCAGAGGTCTCACCTCGGTGGATCCATGTTCAGCAGCAAGGAGGATGTCTCAGGGCCATGCATGAAAGATATTGGCATGTGTGTTCTGCCCCACATGCAGACTTGGGACCTGTGAGGGGGACGCAGGAGGTTGGTGCGTGGATCCAGTTGTGATATGGGATGGCGTAAACAAAGGGAAAAGATCGGGACTGGCACATCCGTACACCTTTTTGTTGGCACCCCGGGTGCCTTCCTTAATTAACACTTTCTCCTCACCTTTTCTAGCAGCAGTGTCCTTGTGAAACGGATGTTCAGGCCCATGGAAGAGGAGTTTGGTCCAGCACCTTCTAAGCAGATGAAGGAAGAAGGGATGAAGCGAGGTACCGTTCCCGTTGAGGCCCTCCCCTGGTGTTGCTCCAATTAGGGATGGTGGTGCGGACATTTCACTGAGAAATGAGGGCCCATGTCCCTGTGGTTCCGTGCTAGCCTGGGGATGCTTTTATTGACACAGGAAGTCCACAGTCTCCTCCTTTGCTTTAAACCTTATCTTTTTAAACACCCTAAACAAACATTTATTCTTCCTGGGCACTGATTCTTTCCTTTACCTTGAGGGAAATGTAGTGAATATACTGACTCATCCAGCAGTGAGATATAAGGTTAAAAAGAAACTCGTGCTGTGGTTGACAGTACCCTCTCGTAAGCACCAGCAGCTGAGAATCCTTCAACAGATGCAAACGATTAATCACGGTACAAGTCAGGGAACCTGTTTTCTGTGACATCACAACTTACTCATTTTCTCTCAGTCAGGGATCTTATCCCACTTCACCGAGAGAATAAGAAACGAAGCACAGGCCCGTCAGTGTCTTGCTCAGCATCTCGATGCTGTGCTGAATCACTGTGCCTCCTGGGAGTAAGGGGAAAGGGGAGGTGGTGGCTTTTCTCCCCACATCCTGCTGTAGCCAACACACCAAGAGCTTCCAGAGACCTTCTGCTTACAGCACTGGACTTTTAATGAGTCAGGTTACCGTACGTCCACCATCTGCACAGGCTTGAGGTTATTGTTACTGAGGATTTTTTTTTTTCCTGTTTGTTGAAATGGGATTTGCATAATGGTTAAGAGCATCCCCTGTGTAGGCTCCCTCAGCCACATCGAGTCATGTGACCTTGGGAAGGTCCTCTGCACCTTGGAGTCCTCACTTGTAAAATGGGGTGACAAGAGTACCCACATCACAGAGGGAGGTTTGATGAGTTAATGTATGTAAAACACCAAACTCAAGTGCCCGGTACATAGTAAGCACTCCATCTTCACTAATATAATTATTAGTTTTATTTTTAGGCCTGGATCTAGTTAAGGAATATTATCATAATTGTGAATGAGTAATGAGCATTTCAGAATTCAAAGAGTGTAAATACCTGAGTAGTGCTAATTACAGTAGTAATATTTAAACCTATAAAAGGTTTTCCGACTTCACAGGCTCACCATCAAATATTCGAGTGCGTTTTGAGCTCCATTCCTGCATGCCTTTTATAGCTCATCCTTTAGAATGAGGGCAGTGTTATATGGAAATCAAGGATCACACGGGCCAAAGTAATAGTAGCTTACATCCATATTTAGTACATGCTGGCTGGTCCAAAGCTTGTGTTTTTCAGATATTTTGAGGTTGTGAAGTCTGCACAAACATTGCCATCAGGAATTGCTGTGACAAAATGCAAAGTTACAGCCTTTGAAACATCTCAGTCATAGGGACACATGAGGGCACTGCAACCTTCCAGCAATAGAGAACTCATTCTCCCAGGAGTGGCTTTTCTTTGGCAAAGGACAGTGGAGTTACTGAGCCCCTCGCCTGGAGCTCCTACGCTGAGCTGGGCTTTGAGAGGCACAAGGAGTCAGGGTCAGTGACAGTGCCCATTGTTTGTTAAAAGCTCTCCAGGACAGAGAATGACTGTAATTATCACCAATGCCGTTATTTGTTTTGCCTTTGTAGCCACTTCTCAGGGTGGCTCCCTCAAAGTCATGGGAGTCGGTTGCCTTTGTCTGTACAAGCTCTGGGATGCCTGATAATGGTTACTGCTATGTTAGCGGAGTGATTGCTATCCACAGATACACAGTTAATGAGAGCTGCCTCTCTGGGCAGGCCCTGGGGGTGAGCTCTAAGCCCAGCATGCAGGTGTGGCTATCAACAAGCCCAGCAGGAGATGGTGGCACTGCAGCCCATCAACCCGCTGCCATGCCCCCTTTAACCCATTCCAGGGGCTCCTACAGCAGAAGTAGCAGCCACACTATTTCAAAGACAATGATTTTCCAAGAAGAGGTCTGTAAATCCAATGGAAGCGGCACTCATTTAAATACTGGGCTGGCCAAAAAGTTCGTTTGGGTGCTTCGAACTTTTTGGCTAACCCAATAGAACATGGTTTGGGGTTTCCTTAGGGTCAGCCTGCTGGAAATTACATTTTTCTGTTGGGGGTTACAGGAAGAAGTTACAGAATGTTCATCTGTAAAAGCCACTGGTGGGAAGCAGTCTCCTGGGGCAGCTGCGTGGGCTCCACAGTCACGGCTTCCCGTCCCTTCTCTTTCAGTGCTTTTGTACGTGAGGAAGGAGACAGACGATGTGTTTGACGCCTTGATGTTGAAATCCCCCACCGTGAGGGGCCTGATGGAAGCGGTAAGCAATGAACCCCCTTCAGCCTCCGAGAAACCGGCATGTAGTCTCCTGAGCTGAAATCCATTTATTAAAATGCAGCCTTCGGGCTTCCCTGGTGGCGCAGCGGTTGAGAGTCCGCCTGCCGATGCAGGGGACACGGGTTCGTGTCCCGGTCCGGGAGGATCCCACGTGCCGCGGAGCGGCTGGGCCCGTGAGCCATGGCCACTGAGCCTGCGCGTCCGGAGCCTGTGCTCCGCAACGGGAGAGGCCACAGCAGTGAGAGGCCCGCATAGCAGAGATGCTTAAGCCAGTGCAGCACCAGTCTTTGAACATGGCCCCTCGCTCCTTGCAGTTTCTACCTTGGGAATTGGAATTATTTTCCTTTAAAGGATCCCTCGAGCTCCTGAGCTGTTGGAAGAAAAGGAAAAAAAAAAAAAAAAAAAAAAAAAATGCAGCCTTCGAGATGGCCCTGGAATGAGCTTTCTCAAGGAAAAAGAAAAAGCAGAGATTTATGGGGACACTGATTTCCACCCTGTCTGGCTTATTATTAGCATCTTAAGGAGAAGGAAGCTTTGTAAAACTGCCAATTCCCTGTCAGTTTAAGGCTAATCAGAGTAAGATGCCACAGAGAAAGTTTAAACTGTGAGTTTCCATTTGTCTCTTTGCATGAAACCAAATTAGATATGTTTAACTTCCAAATCTATACAGAACAAAAACGATTAGGAGGTGTCTTGCCAGCTGCGATAGTGTAATCCAAAATAAAATATGACCTCTTTTGGTTAAGAAAAAAATATAAATTGCAGAGTTATAAAATGATTTAAGTAAGATTCTGAAATCTCTCCCTCCCTTTTCATCCCCTGTTTACTCTAGCATTACCCAACCTGGGCTCAGGAAGTTATTGTATGTTTTATCCATGTATCATCCATCTGAATGTGACTCTACATTGAAAATGCTGTCTGACTCCCCTGTACAACCATGTTGTAGAAGGTCCAGGGTTTTTGTGGTGATGAAGACAGCAGGACTGCCAAGGGACAGTCTAGAATTTTTGTTGGTCTGGAAAACTGCTGCACTGAAACAGCATATTGGGCTACAGAGTAATATGTGAAAATGTGTAGGACAGTGACTATAAGTGAAATCATACACTATGTTGTCTTTTGTGGATGGTTTCTTTCACTTTGCATAACGTTTTTGAGGTTCATCTATGTTGTAGTATAAATCAGTACTTCAGTCTTTTCTATGGCTGAATAATATTCCATTGTATGGATAGACCACATTTCGTTCTTCCATTCACCAGTTGATGTTTTGGCCCCCCCCCCCCCCCAACCTTTTGGCTATTGTGAATAGTGCTGCAAAGAACATCCAGGTACAGGTGTTTGTTTGAATACTTGTTTTCAGTTCTTTGGGCTGTATACTGAGGAGTGGAATTGCTAGCCAGACACGTAAGGTCACATTGTATAATCATACAATTTATAGGAAATATCAAGGACAGGCAAATCCACTGAGACAGAAAGCAGATTAGTTGTTGCCAGGAGTTGGGTGAAAAGTGAATGAGAAAAGTCTACTTAGTGAGTTTCCTTTTGGGGTGATGAATTGTTCTGGAACTACATAGTCCTGACGTTTGCAGAACATTGTGAATGTACTAAATGCTACTGAATTGTACACTTTAAATGGTTTAAGTGGGGAATTCCTGTGATATGTAAAAAAATTATTTATTTGTTCACCTGAAAATTTTTTTAAAAAGCACAAGAATGTTACCAATGTGGTTGGCATTGTTAGGCAATTCAGAGCAGGGCATGGAGGACCACCCTCTAAGAAAGACTTGGCTGGAGGGTTTGGTAATCTCTTCTGTTCTCAGGATCTGACACTGGCATGGAGTTTGTTGTTACTGAATCTGCCCCCCACCCCATAAAGGGAAAACAAAACCAGAAATGAACACAACAAAAAGTATCATCTATCTCTCTTCAAATGAACTAGGATTTTTTTAAATGACCCTAAAATGACTGGAAGATTGAGCTACAGAAGCCCTTTGAACAAATTTCATACCTTTAATCTGGCCTTTAAGATATATTACTGAAACTGACCTACCTAGGATGGTGGTGAAGCTGAAAATTACTTCAGCAGCTGTTTTGAATGCATATTCCCAGTCCTCAACCCCAGATTCCTGTTCTGCTGAAGTGGAGGTGAGGGAGGGCGGTGGAGCAGCAGTAGTTTACATTTTTTTGCCTTTTTTTTTTGCGGTATGCGGGCCTCTCACTGTTGTGGCCTCTCCCCTTGCGGAGCACAGGCTCCGGCCGCGCAGGCTCAGCGGCCATGGCTCATGGGCCCAGCCGCTCCGCGGCATGTGGGATCTTCCCGGACCGGGGCACGAACCCGCGTCCCCTGCATCGGCAGGCGGACTCTCAACCACTGCGCCACCAGGGAAGCCCAGGAATCTGTATTTTTAACAGTTCTTCAGGTTATTCTGAGATCAGCCAGGTGTGAGAACCACTGACCTAGGCCATTACGCCTTTTTCCTTGGCGTCTTCCTTTCCTGTTTGTGACATCTGGCTAGTTCTACAAGTGTTCTGTAGCTGTGGCCTCACTGGACTACAGTGGGGTTAAATGTCACCTTCACTTCCACCCAGACAATCCCTGAGTTAACTCTGCTTTTTTGTTTCTCTCTTCCCCAACAGAATGTAAAGTTCATGAGAACAGGGGCTTTGTCTCTTGCTGTCTTCTGTGTATCCCCAGGTGTTTGGGCATATATATTTGTGGACTGAATTGAGCATCCACTGTGTATGTACCACCATGCCAAGTGCTATGGGAGGCATGTATTTCACATGCATTGCTTCACTTGAGCTTCACTATATCCCTGTGAACTTGGCAGGTCAGATGTCATCACCGTCATTTACAGATGTGGGGCTTCCTGAGCTCCACAGAGTGGCAGAGCCAGCTTAAGCCCTTGAGCAACTTAAGTCCACTTAGGGAGATGTCCACACATGAAAAGTTATTACAAGAAGAATAACCATTCCAAGTCATAGCTCACAACAACTAGAGGAAAGCAGCTTAGGCAACAGTAAGCCATCAGGCAACAAGTAGTGTGTGTGACGGTTGATCCCACACAGTCAGGGTTCAAATCCGAGCTCTGACACTTCAGCGTAGTGTGACCCTGGGCAAGTTACTCAACCTCTTTGTACCCCAGGTTCATCGTTTCTGAAATGAGAGTAATAATAATATGGGATATTATTATGAAGATAGATACTGATAAAATGAGATGTAGGGTTGTTTCGAGGATTAAATGAGTTCCTATACAAGGTGTTTAAAGTAGCACATAGAAACACTGTATATAGGGAGTTCCCTGGTGGTGCAGTGGTTGAGAATTCACCTGCCGATGCAGGGGACACAGGTTCGATCCCTAGTCCGGAAAGAACCCACATGCCGCGGAGCAACTAAGCCCGTGCGCCACAACTACTGAGCCTGCACTCTAGAGTCCGCGAGCCACAACTGCAGAGTGCACGCGCCACAACTACTGAAGCCCACGTGCTCTTAGGGCCCATGTGCCACAACTACTGAAGCCCACACACCTAGAGCCCGTGCTTCACAACAAGAGAGGCCACCGCAATGAGAAGCCTGTGCACCGCAACAAAGAGTAGCCCCCGCTCGCCGCAACTAGAGAAAGCCCGCGTGCAGCAACGAAGACCCAATGCAGCCAGAAAAATAAAATTTTAAATACAGAAACACTATATAAATGAATATATATATATATGTAGTAGACGGCTGTAAGTGCTATGGGGTGGAGAGGCAGATTGAGATTCCCTCAAACCAAAGGGGCTAGAGAAGGGGGTTTTCCCCTGGTGAAGCTGGCTGGGTGCACAGGGAAAAGGTGGCTCGTGGCCCCGGTAGCACCCTCTTCTATGCAGCTGAGTCATTCATGCATGGAGATGCAGGCCTGCCCTCCTTCTATTGACAGGTCAAATGTAGCCCCCTAGGAAGTATTTATAGGCAAGAGCCACCCCTTTTTCAAAAGCGCACCTTAGAGCCCACACTGAACAGTTTATAACTCCACATAAAAGTCATCGGCCTCCAGAGCTGGCGGTTGTGTTGGATGCCTCTAGACCAGGCAGACAGAGTCCTACATTGGTGAAAACCAATGGAAATCTCTAGTTCTGCCTGTTACATATCTGAGGTTTCTGGGCAAAGAGAACTCTCCACAAAGTAAAAGTCTAAAAGTTCCAGATCGTCAGATAGCCAGTATCACACTGATGAGATATGTCTTAGGGGTCCTTAAAAATATTGATCATGAGCTTTTAAAAATGACGGACATATACGAGCAGTTCAGACTACTTGAAAAACACAAAGAAAAAACCAAGCAGTCCTAATGCCCCCGCTCTGAGAACTATCACGAAGCGTGTGCTTGCCACGCACACGGAAGGGGAGTGTCGTGGTGACACCATCCAGCTCCCGGGCAGAAGGATTCCTTCCGTAATCTCCCGACAGATGGCCAGCTTCCTCCACATGCTATCCTGCACGGTCTCGCTTCTTTCCAGGCTTCTGGATTTGGCAAAGCCCACTTCCTTGCCTGGCGTGGAGGCAGAGGACGCCGTGTTAGGGTGGCATTTTATCCAGCTGCCTCTGCCCTTGCCTTTGCCAACTGCACAGAGGGCAGGGCTTTGTCCTCCTGGAGACCGTTGCCCTCGGCAGCCTGATGCCCGTGTCAACTTTGCCAGTTGCTTCTTGGTACTGGATGGGGTCCATGAGCCCTGCTTCAAACAGGCCCATCATATGCCCCTTTTCTCTATGAGCTTAGAATCTGAAACCAGACCGCCAGACTGTTACCTTTTAAATCCTGTCTCTGCCACTTCCTAGCTGAGGGACCCTGATTACTTAATGAGTGTTAAGCATGAGTTTCCTTGCCCAAGAAACAGGTCTCCTCAAAATACCTATTCTGTTGCAATGATGTGAGAATTGAGCGAGTTAATAGATGCAGAACTCCCTGTGCTGATATGCTAAGCACTTAGTAAGCACTCAGTGAACGCTGGCTACTGCGCTACTTTCGGCAGATATGCAGGTTTATGGAAATTTCCTGACTGTTATCAACTGTTCTGTGAGCTTAGGTATATGCGTTCATGCTTTGGGAAAAACTGGGAGTCAAACCCCTGAAAAGAGAAGAACCAAGAATCAGATTCACCTCTCTTTCAGAAAAGGGGGACTAAGAGATATGAACTTGCTGACGTTGAGTCGAAAAAGGAACACGCTTTATTTTTCCATTTCATTTAAAAAAGAAGTTCCAAATGACACCAACCAAAGTTCAAAACCCAACGCTTGCAGGCCAAGCAACTCGCAACGATAAATGTTTTGGTTTTTATTTATTTTACTTTGTAGTTTCCTCTTTCTCTTTAGTTTTGCAGTTGGATTAAGTCACTGTTTTTCATCTTTTCTTGAAAGTTATTCTTTACTTTCCCTAAATTGTTTCAGTCTCTTCTCCTTATTGCTCTGTGATTCCATTATGTTCTTTTTGCTTCAAGAATCATTATTTAACACTTATTTCACATTCCCAGTCCATTTAACTATATATAGGTAGTTATACATACCTATAACTCTATATATCTATATACAGACCATATATATCTATATGTATATACATTATGTATGGATATATAACTATAGATCTATAGTTATATAGAGAGTATATATAGTCTGTCCTCGTGTGTGTGTATACATATATATATATTTATGGTACAACACTGATTGCTTGTTTTCTTCCCCCTTTGCTTTGCTGAAGTCTTTGTTTTGATGCATATTCAGTTTAGCTAGAGTTCTTTTGTGAGTATTTTCCTCAAATGGAATATTTGGGTGAAATGCATTTCTTACATGCCATTCTTTAACCTGAGAAGTGAGGGAGAGCTTGTTGGTGTACAGAATTCTTGGGGTAAAGTCCCTTTTTTCAGTAGTCTGTAGGGGTTATTCCAGTTTGGTTTCTAGTGCTACAGATGAGAAGACTGAAGCCAGGTTCATTCTTTTTCTTTTCTTTTTTTGGTAACTTGTACTTTCTGTCTGGGAGGTTCCAGGATGTTGTATTTTCATTACCCTTGGAGATCTGGCACTTTTCAGAATGGCCAGATGCATGGGTCTTTTCTCATTGATCCTTCCTGGGATTCAGGACACCCCTCCTATCTAAAAACATGGGTCTTTCCTCTGTTACTTGTCTAATTGTTTCCTCTTCTCCATTTGCTCCTTTTTCTCTGTCTGGTACGTTGGATATGGTCGCATCAGATATGGCTGTCTGTTCTTCAAACCTCTCTTTTTTCCCTTCATGATTTCCATCTATGCTATGTGTCTTTGCTCTGCACTTGAAATGGTTTTTCTAATCGATCTTTCCTAACGCCGACTGGTTTGCTGGATCGACCACCTGGCCTTCAATTCATTTATTGACCTCTACAGATTTTTTAGTTCAATAATCGTATATTTAGATCAGAATTTTATACTTGTGTGCTGTACAGCAGTCTTCATAAGTGCTCTTTTATGTTCTGTTCACACGGATGCCGTCCACATAAGTTCTGTCCATTTTCTTTGCTGCCCACAGGCCGTGTTATTTTATGTGCTGGGCTCATTTGGGCTCCAGTATGGCTGTGAGGCAGTTCCATCAGTGACGGAGCAGTGATGTGCGACAGGCAGGCCATTTGTTTCCCAGTCTCCCTTTGCTGTCTCAGCCCTCGGCCCACCTGTTCTGCTCCTTTGGGGCTTGGGGGAGGGGGTGGGGGTCCTTCCTGTGCAGTGTAAGGGATGGATGGGTGGGAATCTGATTCTCTGGAGAATAAGCTCTTCCCAGGAGCCAGAGCTATCCCCCTTTGTCCCAGGGCTCTTTGGCGTCTTTTCCTAGCCCCTGCTAGACTGCCCAGTAGTCCAAGTCCCAAACCTCACCTGCCCTAGCTGTTTGTGAGCCCTGCCAGCCACTGGGCTCACAAGAGGTGGCTGGATTGGATTTGGGAGAGAAAAAGCATTTTGGGTAAGCGTCTCCAGAATCCATCTCTAAGCTATTATTATATTACTTTATATTTATAGTTTTATATTTATAAAACTGAATCATGGTCACTGTAAAAATAAATAGTACAGAATTGTACAACGTGAAAAGAAAAAGAATCTCCTTGTTTCTGTCCATTCTTCCAGGGTAGCCACTGTTAATAGATTGGTGGGTCTTTCAGATATTTTCTATTTACTTACATATATATTTTAAAAAAAATACAAGTGGGATCACACTATATACACTGTTTTGCAATTTGTGTTTTTTCACTTAGTATGTTAAGGACACTTCTTTTCATATAGGCATCCTGCATTTCTTTTAATGATTGCATGACGGCGTGGTTTTCAAGTGTGCAAATATCAAAATGTGCCTAATGAATGTTTGTTATATACAGTTATCTGTGTTATGAACAGTGATGCTTTGAAGAGCTTTGCATACATCTGAGTGTATTTCTGTACACCAAATTACGAGATGTGGACTATTTGGGTCAAAAGGTATATGCCTTTGAAATTTCAATAGCTTCTGCCAAATTTCCCTCCAGAAAGGTTGAGCTTGTTGCTCTCCTATCTATGGGCTATGAGAGTTGCTGTTTCTTATCCTTTGGCTGGCACTGTATTATCAATTTTTCAGTTTTTGTTAGTCTCATAGATTAAAGGTAGTATCCTGCTGTTGTTTTTTTTTTTTTGGTTTTTTTTGTGGTATGTGGGCCCTCTCCGTTGTGGTCTCTCCCGTTGCGGAGCACAGGCTCCGGACGTGCAAGCTCAGCGGCCATGGCTCACGGGCCCAGCCGCTCCGTGGCATGTGGGATCTTCCCGGACCGGGGCACGAACCCGTGTCCCCTGCACCGGCAGGCGGACTTTCAAACCACTGCGCCACCAGGGAAGCCCCTTGCTGTTGTTTTAATTTGAATTTTTAAATTAATAGTGAGGTGGTGCATTTTCTTATTTGCTTATTGTCCTATTGTATTTTTTCTGTGAATTACTTCTGTATGTTGTTGCCTTCCTCGTCCCATTGTTAGTCTTTCTTTTAATTGAAGCATGGTTGATTTACAATATTATGTAGTTTCAGGTGTACAGCAGAGTGATTCAGTTATATGTGTATTTTTTTCAGATTATCTTCCATTATAGGTTATTATACGGTATTGAATATAGTTCCCTGTGCTATACAGTAGGTCCTATTGATTATCTATTTTATATACAGTAGTGTGTAAATGTTAATCCCAGACTCCTAATTTATCCCTCCCTCCCCCCTTTGGTAAACCATGTTTGTTTTCTATGTCTGTTTGAGTCTCTTTCTGGTTTTGTAAATATTCATTTGTATTAAAGAATATGGACCGATTCACGAACTTGCACATTATCCATGTGCAGGGTCCATGCTCATCTTCTCTGTATCGTTCCAATTTTAGTATATGTGCTGCCAAAGGGAGCATGTTGGTCCGTTTTTTTTTTAATTTGGAGGTGTTCTAACTTAAGACAGTTAGTTCCACTCTGTCATTTGTGTTGCAAAAATGTTTCCCAGTGTGCTGTTTGTCCTCAGCTTTCTGGGTGGTTTTGCCTATACTGGTATTTTTCATCTTATGCTGCTTTATCTACATTTTGGCCTTTTTTCTTCAGGTTTCATAGCTTGCTTGGCATCTTCCTTACTTAAAGATGATATCTATACAAAGTATTGATTCATGGTTTCTTCTTGCATGGTTTCATCTTTTCCTTGTAAATCTTTGGTGATATTTATTTTGATGGAAGTCGTGGAGAAGGGATCTGACTTAACTTGTTAATTTTTTTCTATATGGCTACCTATTTAATCCAACATCATGATTAGAGTCCATCTTTTTCTGACTGACCTGAAATGACACCTTCATCATAGATTAAATTCTCCTGTGGGTGACCTTTTTGTTGACCGATTTATGGTTTGTCCAAAGGGAAAGCCTTGCAAATGAGCCTTTTTGAGAGTCTGACTCATGAGTGAAGACCACTGGCACCCAGAAACATTTCCAGGACAGTGAAGTTGGAATTTTCTCTTGTCTCCGCTTGGCTCCCCTTCCACACTCACCTGCCTTTTTGTTACTGGTTGCAGATATCTGAGAAATACGGGCTGCCCGTGGAAAAGATAACAAAGCTTTACAAGAAAAGCAAAAAAGGGTAAGAAAGAAACGGAACTTAAATTGATCTCCCATTCAGATATGTCTATACAGTGCCTTTAAAAAAAACAAGATGGTGCCCATCTTTCGTTAGTTCTGTTGTCTGCCTTTCATAAAAATTTGTCATCCTTTCAAAGGCGTGCTGAGCAGCTTACGTGCGCCACGCATTTTGAGGACCTTTAATGAGAGAGAGCGGGGAGTGAGAGTGCGTTGTCATGACGTCAGCTGAGCTGCCCCCCTCCAATGACAGGATTAGTGGGTAGAATAGAGGGGTCTGGAAGTGGTGAGAGTGGCCCTGGGGACAGTGGCAAGGTCGCCCTTCTGCAGAGAGCAGAGTTTATAGGGAATCACGTGCTGCTCTTGGGGCTGGTTTCAGGGCAGCACGGTAGGAATACAAAGGATTCAGGGCATAGAGGATTCTTCTGAGGTCATTACTAACATAATGATTGAAATGATTACTGGACCTGCTTGTTCTCACTGTTAAGAACAACAGCTCTCATTTATCTGGTGCTCAGTAGGTTCTGGGTCTCCTGCTAAGTGCTTTATGTGTATTGTTCTATTATTCCTCACCACTCAGTGAGGTAGATTCTTATCCATAATTTATTGCTGATGGAGGCTAAGCAACTTGCCCAAAGTCTCATGTTCAGTAGGTGAGGCGCAGATTTAACCCAGGTCCATGGCCCCAAAGCCCTAGTGTTTAGCTCGCACATCTGCTGTCTCCAGCCCTCCCAGGGCCTCCTGTGTATGAGGCTCCAAGTTTAGTTGCCACGGAGCTGGATTTAGTGCCAGGAGAGGGTCTCCATTAGAGTCAGCTTCTGGAGCTATTTTCTTACAAAAAGCAGAAAATAGGTCTTTAAACTCTTCTCTGGGCCTCTTTCATAAAGGAAATTGATTATCTGGGATACTCAGGCTTTTTGAGTGATGCGGTCCCTTGGTTAATTTGGAGCCAAGCAGGAAACCCTTTCCACTTGAGCCCTGGTTGAAAAGCTCACTAAAATGCATGTTACAGTTCTTTCCAAAGTCAGTGCAAGAGGCTGAGTGTATTCCTTCGCTGGTGAGATTTGAGTGGTGTCTCAAGGTCTCACGTTGAGCAGAAACCCTCAGTGTCGATGCACATTGCCGATGGTAACATTTCACTTCCACTGAGCCCTGTCTCAGGCCCTGGGCTAAATACTTTTAATCCTAACAACAACCGTCTAAAGCAGGGTTGTTATTCTTATTTTTGCGGAAAGGCTAAACAACTTGCCTGATGACACATAGCTGTAAAATGAGAGTCAGTTCTCAAACCAAGATCTGTCTGACTTCAGAGAAGGGGATTGGTTCAAGGACTTCTAAAGTCACGGACAGGCCCTGGAAGTTGTTGGTTTTCTTAAAACCAAACCTAACACAGATGGTTAACCAAGGAGTAGGTCACATGTGGTAAAAGTCTGAACTTCAGAGTGAGGCAAAGCCAGTTTCAAAACCTAGCTCAGCAGTAAACCAGCTGAGTGAACTTTGGGACACGATCTCACCTTGCTGAGCTCAGGTTTCTCATTTGCAACGTGGTGATGACCGCACCTGCCTTCAAGGTTGCCCTGAGGACTGAACACAAGGTCTCCAAAACACTGGAACACACTGCATGCTTGAGGAAGGGTACCTGCAGCTCTTGTTTATTTTCCTCTTCTCCTAAGTGTGGAGTACTGTTTTTAAATGCGTTTCCAAGAGGCAGTATGGTTTAATGAAAATAGTTCGGGGACCGGGCCCTGTCAATAGCTAACTTTGTGATTTCAGGCTCTGTTAACTTCTGGGCTGTACTTTACCAATCTAGAAAGCAAAAGGTTTGGGTTGAATGAGCTCTGAAATCCTGTTTCATAAGGAGTTACTTCTGAGAAAGCGACGTTTTGCTTTCCTCAAAGTGGCTTCTGCGGGCCAGTTTGGGGGCCGCTGCAGAGTGGGAGCCTCTCTCCCTGCCTGTCTCCTCTCCCCTCCAGCCCCTGCCCCCCTTCCTGGCCTCCCTTGCAAAAGCATGGCTGAGGGAGCCCCCAGCCGGGAGCCTGCCCTTGCACCGAGCGCCTTGGTCACGGCATCTCTGTTCCCCCATCCCCGGCAGCATCCTGGTGAACATGGACGACAACATCATCGAGCACTACTCGAATGAGGACACCTTCATCCTCAACATGGAGAGCACGGTGGAGGGCTTCAAGATCACGCTCATGGAGATCTGAGCCCTGCTCCGGGCAGCAGCCCTCAGGGCCTTTCTCCCTGGGGCAGCCGGAAGCCCGGGCCCTGCAGACCCACCCAGCTCATCTCACAACTGCTGTTACACGACCGCGCTGGGGAGCGGGCCGAGGCCCGAAGCCCCATGTTTGGTCCGTGCATTTGGTCCGCCCGCTGGCTCCTGCCATGGAGCCGCAGCCCGAGCCCCTCGGGAAAGGGCCTTGCGCCTGTTGGATCCTTATTTATTGTCCACCTTTCTCCGGAGCCCAGGGCCCAGGCCCGCCAGGGCTCTGCAGGTCACTGCTGGCTCCAGGTGCCACCGTCCAGAGCCCTCCCCTTCAATCCATTCATCCCGAAGGGCCTGAGGATGCTTGCCCCTGCCGTCTCACCTCCTCATGTCTCCTGAGTGGACGGACGGAATGAGCCGTTTCCTTCATCAGAGGTCGGGGGAGAGGTGGACACCCCTTCCTGGTTAGAAACCTTCAGGCTGCTCGGGGATGGTCATCTCGCCGATACCCCCAGGGGTTCCCGGCGAGTGGCCAGCAGGCCGTGTACAGGAAGACATTCAGCCACTGTGTAATTAGTAAGTAACCTAGAAGGTGTGCCTGGCTACCCGTGTACATAGTGTTTATAATATGGCAATAATATATTCTACCTGTGCTACGTGGGCACGTTTACTGCCACTGGCCGGGGGAGGCACATACCTGGAGACCCTGCTTTCTCCAAGAGGCTTCTGCCTCTGTGCTGTTCAGGAGACGCGCTGGGCGATGGAAGTGGCCTTCGGGGTGCCGGGTGACTGCGGTGGGCGCCGAGACAGCTACTCACGTGGGCACGCGCGGGGCCTCGGTCCCTGTCCGCAGAGGGCGCCCTGTTCCCTCTCCACGGGCACTGCTCGCCCCGGAGGCCACTGAGTTTATCTCGCGGCGATGCCCTTTGCCTGACCCTCCCTCTGAGCTGTCTCGTGGCAAAGGTGAGACTGTCTGAGGCCCCAGCTCCTCCTGCTTTTCTGTTGGCGCCGCCTGAACTTTCTGGAGAGGCCGCAGGGGGGTCGCCACCAGGGCCCCGTCTCTTGGGCCCGCTGCAGAACTCCTTGGCTATCGTGAGCATCCTGGCCACTGTGAGTGCCTCGCAGTTTACAAGCACGCCCTTCTCCACAAGTGGCCCCCTTAAAGCCCAACTGTGGTCCCGAGAGCGAGGCCGACAGTTCAGCTCTGGGTCTCCAGGCCACGGCGGCCTCCCGGGGCTCAGCCGCCTCTGCTCCCAGATGCTGGATGTGGAGGGAGCGAGGATGCCCCAAGAGCCCTGGCTCTTCGGAAAGCAGCGTCCAGAGGAAGACGGAGAGGTGGTTTGCCCTCCTGCTGGGTGCCCTGGCAGATGAAGAGAAAAAGAAACGCTTCCCCAAACGATCACGATGTCATGGACCGTCCAGGCCACAGTTCTCTTTGAGGGGCAGGAACGTGGTCTAAGGGGTCTGTGTTCACCTCTGTGGGTTGAAGCACCAGCTTCCTGCTAGCGAGCACACCCTCCACCCAGGGCCCCAGGTCTAGGACAGGTTCTCTGTAAGGACCCATTTGTTTGTAAAGCACTTTGATGTCTTACCTGGGGGCTTTCTCTTCAAGGGCTCCCTGCCCTCCCACCCCGTCGCCCCTGAGGCCCAGAGCCGGACGGAAGGGCTACTTCCAGTCCAGCTGTGTGTCCTGGAGGCTGCAGAGAACTTGAATGGAATGGTGGGCAGGTGCGGAGCCTAGGAAGATCTCTGGGTGTGGTGAGCAGGCACCTTTCCCTGTCTTCTGGACACATCACCCCTCTCCGTGGTGCCAAAGGTTACATCCTGGATTCACCTCTGCTCCAGTCTGTCGCCGCCTCCTCCACTCTGTGACTGCCATGACCTGGACCGGCATCTTGGGGACCCTCCTGGGTACTAATGGGGCTCCTTGTTGGGAGTGCATGATGTACAATGCGCCTCCCAGGCTCCTTGCCTGAGGGCTGGTTCCAGACGTGATCAGCAGACGTAATGGCGAATACTATTGGGCCGGGGCACAGCACTCCAGAGTAGGAAAAAGAGAAAATCTTTGGCAATCTGAAACGGGTTACGTAGCTTCTCTCTCCAGCCTCTGTGGGAAAAAATGTTGGCTAATCCTGCCCTAGGCAGAAGATGAATCAAAGAGGCTTTTGCCTTTGTCCCAGGTCCCTGGTCAATGATCGCGGTGACCACTGCCAGAACAAAGCATATGAGGTCAGTGCCAGCAAAGGGTGGTGCAGAGTATCCCCTCTCATTTGATCTGTCCCCATCTTACCACGTCCCCTCTGCGTTCTCGGTGTGCCCGTGGCTTAGCTTCGATGTGGCCTTCACTATGTATATGAGCAGAGCTTTTATGAGCAAAATTGTCCAAGAAAAACACTCCAGAGAGATAGGAAAGCTTGCCTCCTCTTCTTTTTTTGCCCCTTAATAAATAAGCTTTAAAGAAAGAATTCATGTAAGACGAGGGACACGTGAAACAAGTGTTTTTCTTATACTTACCCAAATTGCTTAGACTTTATGGGTGTTTAGGAATTGGGTCCAACAGAAAAATGCAGTCGGGTATCATCTTGGAATTGGATCCTAAAAGACTAAGGCACGTCCCAGCCCAGAAACTTAAGAAGCATGAACTGACTCAAACATTTATTTTCCTTCTTATTTAAAATTACGCAAATGCAACAGAAGCAGAGGGCTTGTGCCAAATTCTATGAACAGCCCTTTTTTAAAGACAAGCGAGGAAGACTGCTAGATGGACAATTTGCTCTCGTGTTAAAAAAAAAAAACAAAGGCAAATGTAACTTAATAGTTTTGTAAATGGGAGAGGGGGAATCTATAAACTATAAATACAGTTATTTTATTTTTTGTACATTTTTAAGAAGAAAAAAATAAATATTCCTAACACGCGAATGTCCGGTGTTCTCGGTGAGGTTGGTATTGGGGCTCTTTGCCTGACTGGAAAGAAGCCTCTGTGTGAGCGGGGAAGGTTCTAGGCTCGCCTTGGGCACCTCAGGTCCTGGGCTCCAACAAAGCAGACGTTTCCTCTTCTGGTTGCTTTGTTGTGCCCAACCCCAAGGTTAAATGAGAAGAGGGCTGAAGACATCACGAGGCCTTTGGTGTGACCATGACAGGCCACCAGCATGGCTATTCTTCCAGTTCCCAGGGCAGGGAGTAAGCTCTGTCCATCTGCATTTGCCTTCCTCACACCCAGCTCCCTCACCACCACTTAAATGTACCACCAGAGCTTTCCCGTGCCTTAGTTCATCTCACCCACCTCTCCACAGAGACTAAAACCACGTGGCTGAAACGCCAACCTCATCATGACAGTCTCTTGCCCTGGAACCCACAGCCTCGCTACTACCTGTCAGCTCAAATCCCAGTCTTTCATTCTTTCTTTTTTTTTTTTTTTTTAAGTGTGGTGTGCTAATTCCCATGGAACGAACTTTGATCACTGGGAAACTGAAGATGGGAGGGAGAAAGTAAATATCCCTGACCCCTCCGTCCTCTTTTCCATGGACAATTCCAACCTTACAGCCACATGGCTCATCTGAAGAAGCCCTGTGTGGCCAAGCAGATGCTTCTGCGGAAGGATTTCCTTTTTTTTTTTTTTTTTTAACATCTTTATTGGAGTATAATTGCTTTACAATGGTGTGTTAGTTTCTGCATATACATATGTTCCCATATCTCTTCCCTCTTGCATCACCCTCCCTCCCACCCACCCCTCCAGGTGGTCACAGAGCACCGGGCTGATCTCCCTGTGCTATGCGGCTGCTTCCCACTAGCTATCTACCTTACGTTTGGTAGTGTATGTATGTCCATGCCTCTCTCTCACTTTGTCCCAGCTCACCCTTCCCCCTCCCCGTGTCCTCTTACCCCTAGGTTCTTCATGACCGTTGTTGTTTTTCTTTCTTCGATTCCATATGTGTGTGTTAGCGCACGGTATTTGTCTTTCTCTTTCTGACTGACTTCACTCTGTATTCAAATCCCAGTACTTCTCGGCATTTCCTCAGTGGCCACGCACACTCCTTCAGCCGTCCTCCACGATTAGCTCCCGAGAGCCTCTCTCTTCCAAACAAGGAGCGCTTCTATGTTCTTCCACCTGTCTGTCTGTCCACGTCGACAGCTTTCAAATCTTGGCTAAAAATTCGCCTAGGGAAAGCTTTCTCTGACCAACTTTGACCCCCTTGGCATCCTCATCAGCCTCCGTGCTTGGACCCGTGGGCAGCAAAGAGGTCAGGGGAAGTGCTCATTGAGGAGGCTTCTGGAGAGATCCTGGGATTAGAAATGGGCCAAAGGCCTCTTTGCCACCATCCGTGTTCCGCAGTCTCAGTAGGAGGTCTGAATGTATTCCCCACAGGCCCGAGGACGTCCTGCCGGGCATGCACTGGTCTCCACATCTCCCCCGAGGCAGTCCTCCCTTGACCCATGGCAGCAATAGTCCTGCTGTGAACTCTGCTCCCCATGTGTGCCACCGCCCCCCCTCCCTGTACTGGGACTCCGGGTAGGTAAAGCTGTCAGGGCCACAGCGTCCAGTGCCAGCTCTTGCCTTCATCGCTATGCCAGCTCAGCTCAGTTACTATGGACCGGGCATCATGCCCGGTGCTGGGGAATAAGAGGCACATTAGATGCAGTCCATCCTCAGGGGCTGCGATGTGCCCAGTGATAACAGCCTGGCATCGTCAGCACCGGGAGAGGGGTTCACTCTGGGAGAGCCAGGGCTCAGCAGTCACCCCAGTCCTAAGGCATACAATCCCCTGTTACCCTTAGACTTTCACAATGTGATGAGAGGTCACCAAACGCTAATCTCACTTTAGGAAGGCTGCCAACTCGAGGGTCTGAGCCCCTGTATCTCTGAGGGTCAATGGCACATTAACACCCAGGGCAGCAAATGCCCAGGACCTACGTAAGCCCTGGGCATGTGGTCATCATTCAAGTGTAGAGAAATCTATTTGAAATGAATATACCATTGGTTCGACCCTTGGTGTGGACATCTTTTCACTCTGCAACAATCCTTCTACTTTAGGTGGATCTATTGCCTTGGGAAATACAGGGCTCAATTTTCTTTCTTTTGTTTCTTCAGCCACCTTAAAAAAAAAAAATTTTTTTCAGGAAAGTGAAAGCATACTCCTGACAAAGATAAGAGAGGCCTGCGTGAAGCATCTCCATTTCTTCCAAAGGGAGCTCTCGTGATCTCCCCCTGCCTCAACGGAGAAAACAGGCAGATTCTTCCTCACCTGGCCTATGCCGGCCCCCCCGCCCCCACCCATGCCTGAACTAGGCTGTCAGGGGGTCCAGAGCTGGGTTGGGACAGTACCCTGAAAATAGGAGTCTCAGGCTTGCAAATGGGCTGGAAATTAACAGGTTCACCTCCAACAGGTGTGCGAGTGAAGAGGCTCCTGATCAGGTTGGAGGGTCCCAGCCACCTCCTTACCATCACTGCTGTGAGTGACATGGCATTACTCACGCTCAGTTCTCACGGGCCTCAGGGCCACTGCTGGTCTATAGAGAGAAAGTGTGAGATACAAAAAGGCTCCCCTCCAGGCCAACTCAGCTCCTACATGAGGTCCGGCTGGCCCGTGAGACACCTACCACAGCTGACATTCAGCCCCTTTTTCCTACATTCATGGCCTCTGTGCTGGAGGCAAGGCCAAGGACAGCAGCAACAAGCACCTTGATCTGAATTGGCTCTGAGGCCACGGGCTCTGTATCATGTCGGTTTTCCTACAGACTCTTTTCCAGCCTGAGAGGCCCCGAGAGGGGGATGTTAATTTCCCACTGAAGAGGAAGTTGCCTCAGTTTCCCCTTCCGGTGCACCTAATGTTGAGACTAGGATTTATAGCTCCCGTTGCGAGGAAGGAGAGGAGGTAAGAAAGTGAAGGCCATTAGCAGAAAGTTAGCCCACATGTAGACCAAGGATGCTCCCGGACAGGGCTTGGGGTCCAGCAGACCCTCTCATCCCCGCTTTCACAAACCCTTCTTCCTTGTGCCTGCGGAGCAGAAACCACACCCAGGAGGTGGCCAGCACAGCATGTGGGCCCTCACTCGGGCACAGATCCAGCTGGAGCAGCAGTTTAGGCACGGAAACCTCATGTCCCAGACCATCATATTAAATCAGCAACATTCTTGAATGCCAAGCTAGAGTAACGCAAAAGTCACCTGATATGGGACCCACTCCACGGGGAGGGATTCATAAATTACTAAATTCCCTTGTGGAAAGTGCCCCCAGGGCATGTCAACGGGATGGGACTGCGCCCTCAACACCCCTTCCCCACCCTAAACAAGGATATGAACGGTCGACCACTCTATCATCCTTCACATCGTAAGCCACTTTATTCCAGTCCCTTGAACGTCACAGGCTGGCCTGATTTCAGACAGACAGACTCCATTTCCAGAGGCCCCTCAACACAGCGATGACAATGAACAGCCCAGCACAGGAGTGACGTAAGCTTTTAGGCATTCAGCCTTCTGGGTGCTGCCGAGTCCCTTGGCCACACTCGAGTGCACTGGGTCAGACATACAAGGGCCTTCCTGGGAAGGAGGAGAAGGAGAAAACAACCCTCAAGAAAATACAGACAGGGTCAAGGGCAGGCCAGGACGAGGACTATTTTCCGTACACCCCGGGCGCCGTGCGACTGCTTTGTTTTCTTAACAGCTGGAGACGCGCTCCCCTGCATCTCACTCCAGCTCTAGGTTCTAGGGAACGGAGTGCGTCTGGCTCAGTAAGATGTCATGACTGAGGACGGAGCCCAGGCGGGCTTTCCCAAACATTAACTGACTCCGCCATCTAAGGAGAACTAAAGGAGGAACTAGGTCTTCAATCAAGAGTGGGAGAAAGTGCGAGGCAGCTCCTGAACATCACCTACAGAGGTGCTGGGTCCCCTTGCCACTGTGCATGCCGCGTCTTAGGTTAATTCCCTAGTTTTCAAAACCAGATTTTACCACTTGGCCAATGGAGGGACTCAGCAAGTCTCACAGTATAGAACCACTATAAAAAAAACTGACACTCAGAGGAAGATGAAGATTATTTTACTGAGTCCAGGTCTCAAAATTTCACCCTGCCAAGTTGGTTCGTTTTGGTCAACCATACAAATTCAGATTTTTACTATCAGTTTAAATGGAATCGAGTAATACTCAGGAATCTAGAGGTTAGAATGGGCTCAGCATCATTTTCCTCATGGTTATAAGTTGATCTTTCTGTGGTTCATGGTCTACAGGAAGTGGCTTGGCCGCAGCCAAGGAGACCTCTCTGCCTTCTCTTGGGGCAGGGTCTCCCCATCTACATACTTGAGTGTTTGGACTTCCCCATACCTACTGCTTGTGAAAATATGACTTACCTGTGACCAGCAACTTGTACTCTTACCTTTCAATTCAAATTAGGATGTATGAGGTCATCAGACCAAACTGCAACTCAAATTTGTACTGTCACTTCTGTAAATAGAAATTTGCATTCAGAGAACCCGATGATGCAAGATACTTTTGGATTCCCAAGGGTGGGCCTTGGAAATCACAGACACACTTGCCTATATGCCTTCTTCAAGATGAACCAGATGATGCCCAACCTCTGACTCTCTTCAGGGCCGCTAGAGGCATGGAAAAGTCAACATTCCAGCTGTGGCTTCCTAACCATCCGTGTGGATTAAAGCATTGGGAAGTCCCGAGAATTTATGCTCTTTGGGGTGGGGGTGGGAACAGCTACAGAATATTATCTGCTCAGAAAAGCACCGCACCTCTGATCCAGGACTGTCAATGGGCTGCTGGGCTGGGTGGGCAAACCCACATCTCTAATAAGTATGCACCTTCTGGTGCTCCAGTTGACACATCCCACTCAGACCTGCCCCACTTCCATTGCCTAGGCACTACCACTGGAAAAGCATCAAAATTAAGGTTGGGCCCTGGTCATGGTTACTTTGTACTTTTCTGGAATATATAAAATATACCTGTTGATTGGTGCATTTGTGCAAAGACGGATATGACTTCAAAATAAGACATAGACATTCATTATAGCTGGCTTACTTCACAACAAGCTACTAAAAACAGTCTCCTGTAATAAGATTGTATTAGTGCTCACTAAACATGCACTTCATTTAAACAAGGCAAAACACTTAATTTCGTCTGTAATACCCAGTATTTTATATACAGCAATCTTTTTTTTTTTTTTAAACTACAATAGGCAACAAGATGGGTCTGGTTTTGAAATATAAATTACCATTTGTGTTTAATTTCCAGAGAAACTCATCTTAGCTCAACTAGTGTAAACCTGGGAAGAAATAGCTGAGCCATCTTTTTCCTCTCCTCTATGAATTTACCTTGAAATGTTCACAGCTTAGAAACTAAAACCTGCTGGGGAAGAGGATGGGGTGGGCCTCCAGGCGGGAATCCTCCAGGCCCCTTTAATAGCCTGGCCCCGGAGGATTCCTGGTCCCTGGGAAATGGAGCATCTGGTGCCATCACCCCTAGGGCATGTGTTACTCCAGACCCAGGTGGGGAATTTTGTTTTCCAAACAGGGCCCTCAAGCTTGCCATAGAATCACTGGACTGGATTGTTTTCTCTTCTCTTCTCTTGCCTCCCCCAGTCTTCGGTTTTAGAACACAGACCTTCGAATCAAAGGGAAAGTAATAACAATAAAGATGAAAAATCGTCAGAACAATGAACACCACAAAGTCTGTGCACGGCAGCACTGTTCATGCTCTCCACAAGCGCGGGGGGCTCTAGACATTCCCATGAAGCGTCCACGACAAAAGAAGCTGCAGGCGGCACGGAGGGAGGTGCATCCGACCACACGAGGAACAGCATCACCGTCAATATCGTTTGGCAAAAAAAAAAATTTTTTTTTTGTTAAAAAGTAAACTCCAAAGGGAACACAAGCAGCTCTACAGTTGGTGGGGCTTCCGGCTCAGAAGTGGCCGGCGCTGCTGGGGTCGCACTGCAGGAGGCGCACTATGGACGGGTCGCTCTTGGCCCCTCGGATGAACTCTTCCAGGGAGAGTTTTCCTAGAAAGCAAGAGGACCGGTGAGTGGGCTGGCGGCCGCTGCACAGATGTAGGCTTCCTGCTGCATCTTGGGGCCGGCGGCGGCAGCAGCCCACCTCTTCCCGGGGTCTCACACCCGCCGTGAGGCCCACCTTCCGTCTCTCCGAGCCAAGACCCCGGGGCTCGTTGAGCATCACACAGCGCAGCACGCGGCCTCCTGAGAGCTCTGTGTGCACGGCCCTGGGCTGCGGGGCTGCTGGGTGGCCGCGACGTGGCCCCTGCCCTTGTGGCCCCTCCAGCTGCAGGCGCCCCAGAGGGACTCGGTGTCTGTGGATCAGATGGCGCCTTTCAGAGACTGAGCTGGGCTCCTGCAGCGCCAGGCCGTCCCCACGGGCTCACTGGGCCCTCTGGGCTCCTTAGGGTCACGTGGCTACACCTAGGTTTGCATGTGGGCAGAGGGGCCCGAAGAGACATCTGGGGAGAGGGCCCCTTCTTTGGGCCAAGGTGTGAGGACGGCTGCCCTTCCATCCAGGCGAGGGCTGTGTGCTCCGAGAAGCAGAGAGGTGTCGCGGGGGTCCCGCCCGTCAATCAGGGCACTTTCCTCCTACCTCAATGGGCTGGACGGGGGAGACTGGCTGCCTGGGATTCCACTCCTCCTCGATGTCTTTCTCCTTCTTGCCCAAGCTAGAGTATGTATCAAATTCCCTTCGAGAAGTTTCCTTGGTCATATTGTTGGTGGGGAGGCAAAGCTTCCCCCGCTTTCTTGTTGCGGCAGGGTAAACCCTGCATTCAGCGTATGTATCCGCTCCCTCGGGCTAACTACCCGCGTGCTCCCGGACTGGCTTCCCAGCTAACCTGCTGGGGGCCCAGACTTTTCTCTTCAAGTCAGCCGCCAGGGGTTAGATGCAAAGAGCTTCTCCAAGAGGAATCTAACAGTGGGAGGGTCTAGATGAGGCCTTTGCTCCGGTGTGGCGTCCCGCCTTGGGGTCCAGAAGCCCTGAGCCAAAGCACCAAGTCTCCTGGTTGGGCGGAGCCTGACCCCTTGCAGACTTAAAGCCCCTCCCAGTACGGCTCCCACTCTGACCACCCCGCCCCCCGCCCTTTTCTTTTTTTAAACCCAAGGCTTTCCCTTAGGAAAGCACAGGGCTTTTAGCAACGAGATGCATTTGGGGAATGCTGACCCCATCAGGGCTCTGTGACCCCATTGTGGCCGAGTCCCAGGGCACAGGGTCTCATTTCTTGCAGTGAGCGTTCGATCCTGCAGTGTTTGGATCTTCTCCCATCTTTCAGCCCTATTCTGAAGAGGAGGCTGGGCCTCGGGCAGGAGACAAGCCCACCTGTGCTCCCCTGGAGCATCAGCAAAATGTGCAGTTTAATGTCAGCAAGTTTATTATTCTATTAAAAGAATCCCATTTGTTTAGTCTTTGCAAAACAAACTATTCGCTGTGGATCAAGGCACATAGAGAAACAGGATGTAATGGCACCTTTGTGGAGAAACAAAGCAAACAGATTGGCCTGTACCCTGCAAACCTGGATCCTCAGGCAGCTGGTACCCCAGAGGGCATAGGGAGAGAAACTAAGGCTTGCTCTGCGACAAAGCCTTCCGTCAGGGGTATATGACTGCATTTGCTCATCATTGACAAGAACTGCTGGGGATGCCCAGCAGAACAGGCAAGCTGGAAATAAAAGCAAGAGCTATAGATGACTCAGGGCTTATTATGGACCAAGCTCTGTGTTAGCACTTTAAACTCAGATACTACATCTAACTAGGGTTGCCAGATTTAGCAAACAAAATACAGGATGCCCAGCTAACTTTTAGTTTCAAATAAACAACAATTTTTTAAGTATGTCCCAAATATTGAATAGGGCATACTTATACTGAAAAGTCATTTGTTATTTGTCCAAACATTAAATTTAATTGTGCCTCCTGTATTCTGTCTGGCAATCCAACATCTAAAATCCACTGTTCTTGAGTTTGAAATCCATCTCTCCTTTCATTTTGGTTTGCTTTGCATCCCCTTGTTGGATTTGAATTGTGGGTGGCTCTCTCAGGGTGGAATCTGCTGGCCACCTCACCCGCCAATAGCTGAGGGGTCCCACTTGGCTCCAGGAAACCCAACACCTTGGAGCATGCGCACGAAACCCCAACAAAACCCCCTGGGCAGGCTGGGATGAAAGCTACTGGGGTCCGGGTGCATAACAAGCCCCTCCCCACTTTCTGATTCGCTGGCCTGCAGGATCCAGCCTCCATCTTCCCCCTACAGGGAGAAAGCAGGATAAGCCACTTTCACAAAGGGCCTCGAGCCAGGTCCTTATGGCCAATATCCTGACCTCTAGTGGAATTTCCCTGCCCAGACACCCCAGCCCCTCCAGCAGCCCCCACTCTGAGCAAAGCAAAGCAAAGCAAAGCAAAGCAAAGCAAAGCAAAGCAAAGCAGCCATGGCCTCCTACCATCTCTATTGGTGTCCATCTGGCGGAAGATCTTTTCTGTCCTCTTCTCTGGGGTCGACTCATCTTCAGGCATTTTCATTACAGAGGAGACCATCTTATAGATTGCCTGGGGACAGAGGCAACATGGCGTGAGACAGAAACATGGTTTGTTTTCGCACACAATGGCCCTATTATTAAACCTCCCAAATACAGGGTTGAAGGGAATGCCTCCCATCACACAGAGACTCGCCTCTGTTCCTGACCATCTGTTGTCGTAGAAGAGAGACGTGCAGTTGCTGGTGAGAGCAGCCAGGCCAGCAGAGCTTGTCCAGCGGCAAGAGCCTTCAGGAGCGACAACTGGCAGGAAGATCCACTAGGCGCCCCCCCCCGCCCCC